TTATCATTAATTTTTAATGCATTTATATATGATTGCATTCGATTGTTTTATATCGATTGTTTATATTATATAAATTATATTTTTATTATTATGCGTGTTCGGTTTAATGAGTAGCGCATGTGGTGTTGATTTTTCGAATTAATTTTATTAACGGGTTTCCGTTTAATGATTACAATGATTTTTTTTAATGAATACAAACATTTTTTCGTCAATTGACATATGTCAATTTAATTAAAGTTACGTGATTTTATGTTTTTGTTGTTGTTGCGGTGCGCATGAAACCAGTGAACAATGATTGTAAGGGGATGTGATGTCGATGTTGGTATTGGTGGCAAAATTAATTGTGGTGTATGAAATTATGTAAGAAAATGAGACGAAAGAAATGAGAAAATGTTGATGATAAATATACAAATGCAAAATGATAAATGATTATTGATTATATAAACATAATTAGTTAAAAATATATGCGTAAAAAATTGATAAACGCTGTGTAGAGAGACTCATCACAGCAGCTTTTTTCAGGTGCTTTGTTATCATATGCATTCTTAATAAATCGCTTTTTATGCCGTGTACAGGTTTAAGAAGTTTATAATACCCACAAGAGAGCTGCGGTGACCTTGTAAAAATGTATGAAAATGATCAGCCTAACGAGCGGAGTCAATTTAGTTATATCCGTCTGCCTGTATATATATGCGTACTACTCCCCTATTTTAAAAAATATCAATCTGAAATTTCGCAAGTATCTGTTTTTCACCAAAACACAGCTTATTGTGCGGAATCGCTGATATCGAAACACTATAGCATACAGCTGCCATAGAAAGTGAACGATCAAAACTAAGTCCTAATATGGAAAACATCTTTGTTTGACGAAATATCGTCACAAAATTTGGCAAGACTTATTACACAGAACAGCCATGCAATATCCAATGAAATTGTTCAGATCGAACTACTATAGCATATACTATACCATACAAACTGAACGATCAAAATTAAGTTTATGTATGGAAATCTTTTTTGTTTGGCGAAATATCTGCACCAAATTTGGCATTAATTATTTTCCAAAGCAATGTTATAATATCTGTAGAAATCATTCAGATCGAACTACTATAGCGTATAGCTGCCATACAAACTGATTAATCAAAAACAATTTACTGTACGAACAATTTTTATTGTTTAGCTGTAAAGGGTATTTAACTTCAGTGCAAACGAAGTTAACTTTTTACTAGTTGTTTTATTATCTTAATATAACATGAGTTAGCACTAATCATTGACTAGCAAGCGGTAAATAGCCGGATTAATATTATTTGAGCGTACAACCGTTTGCGCTGCTTCACTTGTCAAAAGTAGGAAGCGTCGAATCTAATGCGCATTGCTTGTCTACATATATGCTTTTGTTGTGTGTGAATGCATATTTAAATAATTATGAAATTATGTTGTAGAATCATAAGTAATTACGGTTTTTTCCTTATTTGCACAAGCGTTTTTTTTTAACACTACTAATACAGGCCTCAAACCTGACGCTGCTGCAGAACGCTTTAAATTTTAATTTTAAGCAATTTTTAATTTCAAGAGTTTAAGGTCAAGCCTTACTTCATAACTGTCCAACATTTGACATCTACTCAAGCGCCAAGTTAACACTCAAGTTCGTTGCTTAAGTCTTTGGTATGTCTAACGATGCTAAGCATACGCTAGTAGTTGTGGAATTTCAAGCAGCAAAGCTCACAAGAGATTAAGTCAAGAACATAATTTCGCTTTAATTAAATGCTACAGCTTAACAACCACTCATCAGCTCGTTGAACCAACTAACTCTTTAAGTTAGGCAGCCACTTAAGCAAGGCCGCTGTTAAAACATACTATCTGTAAGCTCCGCGGGTCCATTAGACCCACTTAAACACTCTACAAGCGTAGTGTGTGCCCCGCGGAAAACCGCCCGCTCGCTGTTATTGTAATTAGTTGCTAACGCAGTGAAATCGGCGCTAGGAAATTGGGTTAATGGTGTGGGACACACACGGGCCCACTGCCACACTGACCGCGTATTCGTTGTTTCAGCAGGGGAAATGTAAAGTAAGCAAGTCAAATGTTTGCTCTCGATTATAGACAAACGCTGATCAATTAGTTATTTATTTGTTAGCGCTTAATAGAAATGAATTTACGAGCTTGCTTGATGAAGGAAAGTGCTAACAAGACCAGCGGCCAAACGCTTGTGGAGTTTTTCGTTAAATGGAGCACGGCCAGCCAGGTTGACGAAGATTAATGTTGTGAGTGACGGCATCAAATGGCAGTTCGATGTAGGGAATATGGGAAGTTGGTAAAAGTGTTAAAATATTGTTAAATGGGCAATGCGGTGGCTGTGGTAGAGCCACTTTTTTTTTTCTGCACACAACAAGGCAGCTTTGTTCTTCAGCAACTATTTTTTACCATGAAAATTAAGCATATTCTAGTCAGAAAATGTAGTTATTTATGAAACTAACTTCAATAAAATTTAGTCGCTTCATAATTGACAGCTACAAAGCAGCACAACAACACTACTCAAGCACAAGATAAACAAGCAAACATTACCTTAATCGCTTTATGAGTTTTAACATTGGTAACGGCTGAGTCTTTTTCGCAACATATTTTAATCAGCGCAAGATCGTTAATCTTTTTGGTTCAGATATGTACAGAAAACAAAAGAAAAAAATTAAAGACAAAAACTATAAAAACAAATATCAAAACAATTAAAAAATAATAAAAAAAATTGAAAATACCAAAAAAAATTTTTTTTTGAATTAAAAAAAAAATTCAAAAATACAAAAAAAAAACATGTAAAAAAAATTATAAAAATATAAAAACTCGCAGCCGCTTCTGCACTTCCTCAATTTAAGTGTAGCGCTTAAGTTGATAGCAGTTTGTAACAAGCCGCGTCCATCGCTTAATGCTGATTTATGATTTTATTAAATATTTATTTGAGTCTAGTATCAGTGGCGCCAACAAATTTTTCGAATTTGTGAGAAAATTTTGAGGGCTTGCTCAACACGGTAGTAATTTACAGTAAATTAATCATGTGTGTGTGCATATTTCCAATATTCACGTATGCTTCTTGAAGAATTTGAAGCCATTTTTTGGCCTTTTATACTTAAAAGCTGGCAACCTTCCCCAAAATACATTTAAATTAAAGCTCATTAAATACCTTAACGAAGGCTTTAATTAGATGCAAACGTTTGGCTTTGCTTTTTTCTGTTTTTTTTTTTTTTGCAGATGGCAACGCAATACAGAAATAAAGTAGAAGGTGATTTCTGTTTTGAGGATTCCCACTTAAAAAAAAAAAATATAGAAACTTCAAATTTTATGAGGAATTATTATTCAAAAAAACATTATTTGGTATTTATTTTGTGAAGATTATCTCTTTCAATGTTTATAGTTTAGATTAACGATATCAAGCGACGCTGCTGAAGTTCTAGTTCGTATGCTAACCATTGACATCTAAGGAGACGAATTCGCGCAGATCAGAGTTGTCTGTAAGCGTAAAAAGAGAGTAGAAAACTAAAAGCATCAATGTGGCAGCAACGGTGATAAAACTCAACCAAAGTACGGTGGA